AGAGAGAACGAAGATGGATCCTATAATCAAACCACCAACGAAACTAGTGTAATATTTCTAGATAGCTATACATCATCACACTGACAGAATAATACATATAAGAATGATCTATGATTCACCTCAGCCGATATTATTCAAATAAACACACGAGCAAATTCAGAATGTCACACATGCGCCGACACACAGCTTACTTTTGAGAATTCTGCCATATGCCGGAGAATTACTTCCAAAGTGGCACTTCGAACTCGTGAGTTACATTCTAATCACCTAAGGATGAGGCAGAGTAATCAGAGTGGGGAATGCCATGAAATAGAATCCTAGAACTTATCATATCGAATCCCAGTGAAACGGCTAGCACGCAAGAACAAGTCTCAACAGATTGCACGCACGGACCAGGTTACGGCTCGCGTAGGTTCGGACCTGGCGTCGATCATTTCTTCGTAATTTTTTCTGGTGCTTGGGTGCGCATACAGTTTAGCTGGAAATGAAAATGTGCGACTTAAACACGTATGTCCCATGGCTGCATGCTAAATAGCCCAAATATGACTGATCAAGTCAGCGACTAACGGTCAGTTAAATCAGTGACCCAAAGATCACCTTTAAGAGGTGCTGACCTACTCTGTGATCTATTTCGGCCTTGCATAAGAGCCTCTTCCTCCCTTATGTAATGGTTTTAAAAGCGGGCCGAAGGCCCGCGGCTTCAATTCACCCAGAAAAACCTATTTTCCGGTTGCCTCCATTGGAACCAAAAAGTGCCTCCATTGGGACCACCTAGCGATTAGAAGACCATGATCTTAACCACTGGACTAAATCGACCGACCAACGCACCTGAGCCATATCACAGTGCCTCTGTAATACAACAGTTGTATCATACACTCGACTTGAGGTCATGCTATTATGATAGACAATATTTTCAATCATCATACCTTACATAGACACACTTGCTACGCCATAGAGGGTTACGAATCCGTAGAATTATACAAACGGACCACATTTCGTTTTAGTAACTATTTGTAAATCTTGTATGTCGCCACCGTCAGCCTCTACTGAGCGTGCCACCACAGCTTACCATCCTCTTCCTGAATTCAGGGATATAGACAATGTCAACGAGGAGTCCACTCAGGGACGACGCAGAACCAAGTCGTGTTTCTGGCTTCTATTCAAGGTGACCATCAGGAGTTCCGCATTCTTGTCTAGTTCACTTGAGTTTTTTTTTCAGATTGTTGTCGCAATTTTAGCAGTAGTCTTACTGATAACGGGACTCTGGCAGTACATTGTCGTGAAGCTTGGTCATTCGGGATGCTCTGCGGCTCGGATGGAGGCCTTGGAACCAGAATATGGTAAATTCGATCTCTTACCGAAGGTCAGCCATGCGCGATTCTCAACGTGTTCATGATCCGAGGTGTTTGTCAGTCCTTCGTGCTCATTGAGCAATCACATCGAACATATAGTGCATTGGAGGTATTCCCAACAGATGAGCAAGGGAAGATAACTGGAGGCAGTTTAGGATACTACTACAAGTACTCCCCCTTAGAGTCGCTGATTGCATGCCTGGTATCAAAGGCCCTAGTCTCTCATATCTAAATTGCTGAGTTTAGATCTTCGTATACGCTCACAGTTACTCCCTGGGTATGAGCGGTACTATGCGATCAGGTATCATGGTCCATGGTGGAATGTCTACGGACTCACTGATGAGCTCGGAGATACTCTCCTGACTGCTTCTACTGACTGGTTCTCCATTGGGAAAACAGTTAATATCCACAGGTCCGTCAAAGAGTCTCGAAATACTCTGTACCGGATGATATGATCAGGTGCGATGAGTCTGCAGAAAATCCGATTTACTATAGTGCGAAAGAAACAAGCCACTGGCTTATGAATAAGTAGGCTCTTTATTAATAGGGATGATGTCAAAACTTTTATTATTTCAGAATTCGCAAGATGTTCGGATCGTTTATTAATACGGAGTATTCCTTCTTCGCCGTCAATAAAGGGACTGGGGAGAAAACACTTCTCGGTGTCTCCGTCAAGCAAGGCTTCCAAGCTAAGCAGCTAGTGTTAAGGTAGTATATAGCGGGCTGAAGTCAACTCGAGTGGGAAAAATGTGTTGGAAAACAACACATTCTGTAGAAAAATTCGACGGTTCGGGAGACTGCTACGTGATTCGAACATTTCATGCTGGCTAGTTCAAACGCGTCGTTTTGGAATATCCATGACATTTCGTCTTCGACGACTGGTAGGGCTCCAGATGAGTCCAAGCGGAAGATGTATGATGCCGTCCTAGTGTCGAGACACTGGATGAATCAATTCGATTACTGGCTGGTGCACTGTGACGACCCTTCGGACTTGCCCGCAGAAGAGCATACAGGTAGTGATGAGCTCGTCGGCCCCATGTTTAGTAGTCTTTTCGTCGTAGTTCCATCATCAGTATTCGGAGCGGTGACGGCAGTGGGAGCCTTCAGGGACATCGAGAAAAAAGGGAAACGCCCGGCCCCTCAAGTATAACGTGCAACAATCGGTTTGACCCATTGCTATTGAGTGTACTTTTTCCAATTGATGTAGGCTTGTTTCCAATTGATGTGTCTGTGTGGTGTACCAACTGTCAGTATTTGTCAAGCCTGATTACACCAGCGCCGATGAGCCATCGACGATGGCGTCTGAATGTTCTCAAAGTGCTTACAAAGTGGTAACAATCCGGCCCAATATCGCGAATTAATAGTCAGTAATACTCAGCATTGTTTCCAACGACTAGGATGGTGTAGATTTCAGTATGCATCGCGGAGGTGTGAGTAGATCCCGTGCCCTTTAGTAATTGGGGACATTTCTGATGATGATCTATGGATGTATCCTTGGTGAATCGAGAACGATGTATCCATATAAGTTGCGACATCCTTTGAGATAGAGTATTAGTACTCCTAATCTATATCGCTGGAATGGTCTAGTTGGTTATGACGATCGCCTCACACGCGATAGGTCCCGAGTTCGATTCTCGGTTCCAGTATTCTTTTACTGGTTCCAACTTGGGCTGAGAATAAGGTTATTACTATTGCTAACCACTCTACCAGGAAAGGTAGAAGCATTGCGACTCGCAAGGCCGTCACCATGAAGAGATCGGATGTTGCTCTAGCAGGCTGGAGTGTGATAGCTTCCAGTTATCGGTACTCGTGGACAAATGAGTGATGATAGTATGATTTCACGAGTGATTTCATATTTTGCTGATGCAGTACTGACATACCGCGCCAAGCGCAAAGCAACGACAATTAAGGGGGCGGATGTGAAAACGTTTAACGAGAGGGATGAGACTAAAAAAATGACGAAATAGCGTTACGTTTTCGATGCATACAATTTTTCCGATCCCAATGATAGTAGCAGTATTGACATTTAAGGCATTTTACTGGGCAAAGAGTATATATGTGCTTATGAGAATCACTCGTGCTCCTCGTGTTCAAGACGTTAATTATGGTTTGAGTTACGGTATCCGTCTTTACAGATGTTGTATCTTCAGTCAGCATCGTGTCGGAAGGGAAATGTTGAAAACTTAGCGCGAGTAACGCCGATAGTGTCTCAATTCTCTTGTACTGTCCTCCATGGGATTCTGAGTAAGAGAGGGCACGAGAGATAGAGAGGCGACTTCGAGTATAACTCCCACAGAATATTCTGTAACGGAACCTCGCGTCTGTGCAAGTGTGACCTCAGCATGTTCCGAACGAGCTCTTCCATAAGCAAGCTCACTAAGCAACACTGGAATAGCACAAGAAAAAGTACACTAACGTTACGCGGACAGTAGTTCTCTAATATCTTACTGCAGATGCAAGTCGCCAATCCGGAGTGTGTTGGAGAAGTCTTGCTGCTCATGAGGAGGTGACTGTAGCTGAGAGACAACAACTTGGTCGTCATTTGTAACAACTCATTGACAAGATCTATTCGCGCGAGTGACTTATGTGGTTTTCACAGATGAAATCAGTTGGGATGCATATCTTCCTTTGGTCTCGACCTACGCGTTCAGGCTCCTCCACCACTTCAAAAAGATGCGGAATATGGTACGTCCCCAATCCGTTCGTTCCTCCTTCATACCGCAACCTCACACGCGGTGGGTCTGGGAGAAAACTGCCTCATCGATCAAGAGTATCATAGGCTCACCCAAGGGAGGACGCAATAGCCGAAGAAGCCGATTTGACGGTGATGCATTGTGTTGGACCATCCACGCTGGACTATGCTCTTGCTCTCTGGCTCCTCTCCTCGGAGGCGTCAGATTCAATGCATCACATTTGGCGGATAGCATCTCTTCTATTGCAGCATCGTCGAACTCTGCCGCAGTGAGTTCGCTGCCGTTCTCGTTCGACGAGCAGCATCGTATAGCTTCTGCCGGATCGAGCGAGAGGATAGCCCGACGATGTTGGCAGTACCTGACGTTTACTCGAAATGCGCTCAGGATACCGTGAACAGAACGTGAACGTATTCGCGTAGAACACAGTAACACAGAAGTAAATATAAAAGAACGTTGAAAACTTCATGACTCTGAGGAATTGCCGAATTTCGCCATGACAAGATGAGCGATTTTGAGCACAGTACCGCAAGAATAGGTGGAGCACCGCGCTTACCATTCAACAGAGTCTCGGACCACTGGGCAAAGTGATTGGCTCTCTCCATCTCCAGAGATATTCCCTTGACGATCAGTATCTTTGACGGCATCGAGTGTATACTCCATACGACGGAAAGCTTCCTCGGCACGTCGCTCAACGATACCAAGTCGCGTCACCACCTACACGCCTCCGTTCTATAGTAGAAATTAATGACCATGAAGATGATGTTAGTGTGGATATCCACGAACCTAACGCTCCACTAACTAGTCCAGCGAATCTTCAGTTGGTGTGGAGTATTTTTATTGCTCGAATTTTTTTGAGCATTTCGTGAAGAAATGAGATACCGAAAGTATCATGATGAAAGCTGATATAGAAGCGTTTGACCATGATAGAAATATCACTAGGGCGCTTCATGGCTCCCAAGACCAAGATCTCCCTGGGTGGGGAATCTCCACTGAGGATCGTAGGTTCTAATACCAGTAAAGGACAAAGTGTGTGCGAGGTACGGCTTGTAGAGCTTATAAAGCTCATGTTATTGAAAATTGCATGTAAAGCCTAACGCTTGAGCGCACCAAATTGAAGACGCTGAGAAACCTGGATTGAGTTCGACGGTCGACCTGTATGGTAGGCTCCGATCCCGGCAGTCGGCTCTGGGAGAGCCTCCGCTGCGGGGGCTCGTCGCTACTACGCGTGTCAAGGCTTGAGCACGATAGGCTGAAGTATTTTGCAGTACTTGCATGAATGATAGGCACACGTCGCAGGTCAACTACCACCAAGCACTGCATGCAATGTGAGCAGTATAGAGGTGGAGGTGTAGGAAACGAGCTTTAACTATCTGCCTCATGTCCGGAGCAGCTGGCAGCTCTAATGCAAAAGATGCCGCGCCACAGCATTAGATCACTGGTGCCATACATGCTACGCACTAAAATGTTAGTACTTGTTAATGTTAATCACAGTACGCAACGAACAAGGAGTAATAAACACACGATATGGACCATATCATATGGTGCGCCACAATATGTAGAAAATGCAAGTGCACGTAAGTAAGCAAGATTGAGTTGAACGCACCTTATGTGAAAAACCAGGATGTGAACTGTGAAACAAACTAGCGTAGTGTGGATAGTAAAGAGCCCGCAGTAATTCATGCGAAAATGATTCAAATCGAACTGGTCAATAAAAACTTTGCATTTTTGCAGCCGTCGTCAGGCCATTAGTTGTCGCTTGTCGCGTCTGGGGTTTTGTCGCTCGCCCAGTGGGTCCCTCCCCACGGTGGCTCGCGGATCTGTCGATCCCCAAGAGGGTTGTTCCACCAAGGCTAATCAGAACGGAGATATCTATACGCACACTCACATCAGCTGTTCGACTATTTACAGAGGCGTGTCGCATCTCTAAGTCCCTCTCGGCATCTTTAACTTGACACTGTATCTCGTGGATGAGTCTTTCTGCTGTTGATTGTATCTGCATTTTCCTCCAATATTCATCATGCACTGTATTCTCACTCTCTGATGTATAGAAGTTAGGTTAGCCGTATACGCCTCGATACGCCTAGCGAGCTCTTCTCTAGCGGAAGAACACTGTTGCTTCACCAGCAAGCATCGACCACTGAGATTGTTACGCACCTCGAGAAAAACTCAGCCGTCCAATACGGTCCACATGCAGACGTACATCATCAGTAACCGCGTCTACTATAGTGTCAATAGCAACATGCTCAGCGTCACAATGCGCTTGAGAGCCACCACAACACTCCGCACAAACGAACCGGCCCAGTTGTTTGCAGAATTGCGAGCAGGCGAACCTTTGATGTACCGAACACAGCGCTACGTCACGCTGAGGAGGCGCTGCTTGCTCGACTGCAGCCAAGAGAGCGAAGTTAGTCCGGACCTCAAAAATCAACGATGTTGACGGCGACCATCTCGAGGAGGAGCTCACCTCCGTCACTAACATGTTCTGACGACAGTTCGGACATGTGATGCGGGCATAGGGTGGTGGACTCCACGCTGGCGGCTCTCCTGTCCTCCCGTTGGGAGTAGTAATATCTCTCATGGAGGGGCCTTCTACCAAATGCCGAAGACACCGAACGCACAAACTGTGGCCGCAGCGCACCAGTACCTCGCATGATCGACACAATGCTTACTACATTGCTTTTCTGTGTAGGCCAGAAGTTAACCGAAGATTCTCACAGAGATATTTGCCGTTGTTTCGTCTAAAGAGGAATTGTTCTACTATAGTATAGTAGAACAATTCCTCGCTACGACGCGACGCTCCTCTGTGAGTATAGTAACTTTACTCACGGAAGGACGTCGCGAACTTCTCGAACGCGCATGCGATTGAACTGATCGTTATTAATGCGCATGAACTCTGACAAGTAAGAGCATCTCTCTGTTCACCTTAGGGATATGAGACTCTTCTAGAGTATCATAAGGATTATAGCATACTGGACACTCCATTGCTGTCAACTGCTCATGTCGTGTCCAACTACCACTTGAGCATTCCCTACTGCAACAAAACCCCAGTCTACCCATAACACCATGAACAGGACATCATGAACACAGCGGATTGATAGTATCAGAAGAATGAACAAGTTTTTGTAGCATACATCACTCCATTATGAATTGATTCAGATGAGTTAGATGGACCACGAATGCGATAACATAATCATCGATCTAAGGGGATAAGATCCCCGCAAGGTTTCCGGACACCACCACTCGGAGAAGTGCGAGGCCGTGCATCGAACTGGTGAAGAGAGAATTTACCAGAACCCGCATAGTGTGTAACGTGTTGTTGACAACAGTGAGATCTAGGAGAAGTCTCTATTGCACCTGAAAGCCACGCACTGATGGGTACAAAGATAACGCAGACGTGTGAGCGCATGATCATGGAGTAGATGGTCGATAAGAATATCCCCAGCATGAGGTCAGTGTTGAAGTCCTTACTCGGTAAGCGTCTCCCTAGTGCATCGTACCGCAACGGGCTCGAGCTCCGACTGCGAGTTGTCGGGTCTTTGAGTGATGTAGAGCGCCTTCTGATGTCATCATAGTCACAGGTGAGCTCCTTCCCGCATGCGTGACAATGACCAGGAGTAGAAGTAGAGGTCACAGTTGATTCAGCATCAGAGACATCACCGTCCTCAATCGTCTGAGATGAAGATCCTCACGTGAAACTCCAAGTAGAGAGCTACCTCAGCAGAATGGACTTCAACGGTAAGCGTCAACTCCTCATTATCATCAGCATCCCCGAACTAAGTGAAAGCTAGTTCTATAGACGCGCCGTTTCGTTCGAATTCCACGGCAATGTGATTCATAACTTCACCACTGCCGGAACGTAGGAAGGCTTACCTCAGCTAGCAATGTGTCAATAGAACAAAAGTTCGTCCAGAGCAAACCGTATCGACACCACCAAAGAGAGTGTTCAAATACATCCACTCGGGGACCCTTCTGTTGTCGGCCTATTGTCACAGACCTGCATGCGTTATTTCAAAATGCACGCAGGCACATAAGGATTCACAAAACGCCAATCTCGAAGAGAAAATGTGGCAAGTGTTCGAACTTGGCTATTAGCATCTTCAGCGACTCGACTCACCAGCTGAGTTTAATACTATTCGGTACCCGTAACTTCACAGCACAATAGCCTTCTTGACTCGTTACATCTCCACAAGGGAAGAACTCAACCTAACCATACCACGCTGCATTGAACTGAGGTGAACGGCAAAGTAGTAGACCTGTAGAAACTCCAGGCCAATGATGTTGGTGACCTCCTCAGACAGATAGGGCCTTCCTTTTTGATACCTGAGAAGATGTGGGGGAAAAGGCGCGATAGCAAGGTATTGGTTTCTATCAATGCTATCGAAAGGACAGCCCACCCCTGCCATCACATGGTTGGATGAGCCTACTATCAACAAGGTCAAAGAACCATGTTCAGCCGACCAGACGAACAAAGGGTAATCGCGATGTTCTTTATTAGTATGCTGACGGTAAACATCAACCAAAAAAGGGAATATTCCGGCGACCCACAGTATAGGACTAAGTGAAGTTTCAATGCATTCGCATCGCCATTTGTTTGGAGAGAATCATTCTACTGCCGACCCATCAGCAACTTACCGATCAACTTTACCGGTAATATCCGGTACCGCGAAAGTGAACCAAGACCGCCCCTCCACTGGCTTCATCGATGAACCACTCGACTGGAATAGAACCTCAGTACAGCTCACTGGAGTAGCAGCAGACTCCCTACCTTCCGACTGGCTAATGATACAATGCTCGCTCGCCGACTAGAGTTCCTGTATGAAGATATGATACTCCACATGTCAATGAGAGATGTAACACACTTAACAATTCTGTTGGAGATATCGAGAGAATGGATCTACTCCCATTACACGGAAAAACTCACCGAGTTTGCCGTGAAGACCGTCGACTTGAACCCTCTTCCAGTGCTCTTTCAAGAGTCGTCGGACACCTCGATGCATGGACAATGCATTCTTCCTTTAGCCTCTCACACTCAGCGAGGAGTTCCTCTGAGCCACAGATGCATGAGTATACCATCGAGAAGTGAACTTTCGATGGCCAACATATTATAACATGTTATTGATATATACTAATGTAAATATTACTAATAGATATACTAAGATATATATACTAATAAACGATTACCTAATATAATATATTTAATGATACCTTAATATGATTATATATTTAATATTA